GGGGGGAAAGAGGGAAAGACGGAGGCTTCTTGCTCCTCGTGGCCTGGAGTTGCTGGGAGCAGGGGGTAGGGATTGTTGCATGTGCCCACCCCCTGGGCTCTTTACTGCCGGAGCTCCGCTCCTGTGCGCTCCTGCAGGAAATGACCCCTGCTGGTAGCAAGCCATACAGGGCTTAAAAGAGAACACTAGTACATTGATTTGTGCCCAGAAGCAAATTTGGAGCCACTGCCGATTGGCCAAGACTGGGACAATATGGTCCCTGTGACTCAGCCCAAATCTCTAGATGACCTCACCCAACTGTTTCATGTAGATGTTAAAGAGCACAGGGGACAAAATTGAGCCTTGCAGGACCCCTCAGACCAAAGGCCAAGGGGGTGAGCAGCAGTCCCCCAGCACCACCTTCTGAAATCAGTCCAAGTATAACTCAGACCATCACGAAATGGTACCTTTCAGCCCCAGTCCATAAAAGTGGTCCAGAAGGATACCATCACTGATAGGATCAGTGATGAGATGCAGGAGAATGAACAGCACTGCATTCCCTCTGTCCATCTCCGGGCCAGGTCATTGAACAGGGCAGCCAAGGCTGTTTCAGTCCCATAACCAGGCCTGAAAGAAGGTTGCAAAGGATCCAAACAATCAGCTTCATCGAGGAATGCTTGAAGTTGTCCAGCCACCCCCTGATCAGTCCCCTCATTCAAGAACAGAACAGTTGAGACTAGTCAATAGTTATTGAGGTCTCTTGGGTCCAGGATACTGCTTTTTAGTAGTGGACACACCACAGCCTGTTTCAAGGCTGGGGCAACCACCCTCTCTCTCAAGCAGGCATTAACTACCTCTTGGATTTAATTAGCTGGGAAGGGTCACACAAGCAGGTGGTAGGCCTGAAACCTCCAAGGACTCTGCCTACATCCTCAGACTGAATAAACTGAAAAATATCTCAAACATCTCAACAAGTAGGCTCACTGGCCCCATCTGACTCTGCTGCTGCCAATGTAGAGTCCAAGTCAATACATCTCCTACAGTCCTGATCCCAACAGGTCTTTGACCACCTGGATCAGGTCCACTGGATTACACGATGCACACGCAATGGTGGCAGAAAAGTGTTGTGTCTCTGCCATCACCATACACTTTAAAATGAGCTTTAGCCCATACCTTATCAGATTCATCCAGAATCTTCCTTCACTGTTGCTCTAGTTTTCTCCCTTGTCTTTCCGTCACCCACAGTAAACCAAGGGGCTACCAGGGTTTTAACATCTGAGAGAGAATGTCTGGAAATGATCGTGCCAACTGCCTGGGTCATTTCCTTATTCCAGAGATCAACCAGTAGGACAATGACAGGAGCACTAGCCATATCAACAGGGAAATCCTCTGGAGGCAACAGGAAACCCTTTGGATAGACCTGGCTCTGCGAGTGGATCGTTTTAATAGATCCCCCATCCCTGAAGAGTCTTGATATCCATACCAGTTAACTGTCATGACTTCCTCCAAAGAATCCTGGGAGCTGTAGTACTGAGAATTCTATAACGTAACAAAGACTTCTGGGAGCTGTCTGTAAATGAGAATTCTATAACATAACAAACGCTCCTGGGAGATGTAGTACTGAGGAATTCAGTAACATAACAAAGACTTCTGGGAGCTGTCATATTGAGAAATCTATACACTGACAAGGAACCCCAGGAGCTGTACCACCTCTGCCTCCATAGAACTAAAATTCCTGGGGTCCCCTGCAGGCAAGGAATTATAATTAAACTATTTTAAGTCTATGGTATGTATGTATCTGCCATCAAGTAGCATCAGTCATCTATGGTGACCCCCAGCAAGGCAAGTGAGAAGCAGAGGTGGTTTGCCATTGCCTCCCTCTGCAGAGTATTTCTTGGTGGTCCCCTATCCGAGTACCAACCCTGCTTATCTTCTGAGATCTGACGAGACTGGGCTATATCATACCACCTTCTCACCCTAAGACTATGGTAAGGTAAGGTAAAGGTTTCCCTTGCTCAAAAGCTAGTCATATCCGACTCTAGGGGACGGTGCTCATCTCCATTTCCAAGCCAAAGAGCCAGCCCTGTCAGAAGACGTTTCCGTGGTCATGTGGCCAGAATGACTAAACGCCAAGGCACATGGAACGCTGTTACCTTCCCACCGAAGCAGTACCTATTTATCTACTTGCAATTTCTTGCTTTCGAACTGCTAGGTTGGCATGAACTGGGGCCAGAGACGGGAGTTCACTTCATCACGTGGCACTAGGGTCTTGAACTGCTGAACTACAAACCTTCTGGTCTGCAGCTCAGTGTCTTAACCTCTAAGCCACCGCGGCCCCCAAGTCTATGGTAGGCACACCCAAAGGCCTTAAGGATCTAGCTGTTAGTTTAGTTCCACTCCATTTATTTACTAGCCTGCTATCTTAGCAAGTTTTATGAATCACTGTGCAGTGCAGCCTCAAATCAATCACGTGCCAATAATGCTCTCCAAAATCCCATTACAATTAATCAACCTTCCTGGGCTGTCATAAATTCGCTAAGCACATAACCTAAAGGCACCTCTGTCAGCTCTTGATTGGGTCGATGAGCCATTGATATTACCACGGTGTAACTCAGATGAAAGTACATAAAATACATCAGTCTGAAGTGAGACATTTCAGGGTTTGTGTCGATATCCCTTAGATGTGACTGTGATAAACCAGCCAGACAAATATAAATTTTTATGACAAATGTACAGAAATGTTTGCACATGTATAGATTTACAGAATACTTTTATGACTGATACCTGGTACTTTTCTTTGTTACCACTTCAAGGGGTGGCCTGCTGGAATCAGGAATAGTTTTATTTTCAGTGTTGTGGTTCACATGCTAAACAGATGTGAGTTACCACACCTGTTTTCTGCAGATCATATAACCGACTGCCACAGAACCAGTGTGGTATAATAGGCAGAGTATCAGACTGGAACTGGGGAGATCCACATTCAAACCTACCCTTGCCATGAAACTTACTGGGTGAACTGGGGCAGGCATTTTCTCAGGCTAACCTACCTGACATGGTCGATGTAAGGATAAAATGGAAGACAGAAGAAACATGGATTGTATCCCACCAAGAATCTCTGCAGACAGAAGAATTTCTGTCCATAGAGTCTGACTTCCCAGCCTCCTGCTATAGTCGAAAATGTCCCCAAAATGCGGGGGGACAGGGAAACCCCAGGAACCACAGGAGGAGGGAACTTGGAGGCCTGCTATGGGGGGGGGATTCATATAACATCCTGTTTTGGGTTGCCAACTTCCAGGTGGCGGCTGGCGATCTCTTGCTATTTCCACTGATCTCCAAGCAACAGAGATCAGTTCACCTGGAAAAAATAGCCATTTGGGGGCTTCTGGTTTATGGCGACACGCAGGCAGACACATCTCCCGGACGCCCCGGGGATGTAAACTGTACACCAGCGTGTGGGAGGGGGTCCAACGGGTCGCGACCCCCCTGGAGCCTTGGTAAAAGGCTCCCAGCCAGGGGGCTTTTGAGGGGCGACCTCTTCGATGGCTGAAAGCTAGAGAATTGAGGCGCCCCTCCACCTCGAAGGTCCTGCCACTGAGTGACCGCATGGTACGAGTGCTGCTGACCGGGACAAGAGTTGGAGATCGGGCAAAATAAATGACGACAAGCAAGGCCGAATGGCCAACAACAAACTGTGAGTCGGGTTGAAGCGAGCATGAAGATATAAAAAGAAGCTGCCCCCCCCCGAGCGGCGGGAAAGCGAGCGGGGGAGGGATCCCTCCCAAGCGCATAGACAGAACACGGAAGGAAAGAGGGGGCAGTGGAAAAATAAGTGACTAAAACTGTTTTAAGAGACTTACCAGAGCGCAGAAAAGTGTTTGGGCGAATATCAGAGACTTGAGCAACTTTTTTGAAAAGTAAACAAATCCAAAAAGATGGCGGGGAAGAAACCGGAGAAAGAGAAGCTGTTGAAATCGAAACTAGGGGCCAGTCCTCGAACGGATGAGGTCATTGAGCTCTCAAAACTCTTGGCTGACTCCCTGCACCCCTTGCTGGACAAGATCACTGGCATTAAACAACAACTGTTAGTAATTGGGCAGAGTGTGGCAGCACAGCAGATGCAACTAACTCAATCCTTAAAAGCAACAGAGCAAATGGGAGAGAAGGTGAAGGAAATG